TAAGCAGAGCTCAAAGCCGAAGGTAGGTAGTGATTTACTGATAAGACTTTTTTGAAGGCAAACGGCTGTTTTCTGAGTGCCTGCAGGAGCCCAGTGCAAGCTGCTGCCACATACAGAGCTGAGATCTTTTTCCTCACAGAGGCAACTGTGAGGGACTGCAGATGGACTGCAGTGCAAAGCGGTATGATGCACAGTGCCTGTAGGACGTGGCGGGAGCTGCTGGTCGGTGGTCAGCTGTTTGGCTCGCTCTCCTTTCTGCTGATTTCCTGCAGTGCAAAGCAGAGGATCCCAGCTCTCTCTGACCTGGGAAGACAGCAGGAGCTCAGCACTGCTGCCTTCAGACAGGCAAGCTACCGCCAGCCGGTCCACCCTTCTGCCTGCTGCTGCCTTGCCACGCTTCAGCAGAAGTGAACGAGATCTCTCCAGTAAGGGAGAGTTTCTCCTTCTCCGCAGGCTGTCGGCTGCCCAAGGCTCCCCTTTGCAGGAGTGGAGAGGATTCCCATTTGGGGAATTCCTGGTTGGCCCCTGTGTTTGCAGCCATACTACCTGTCACGTTGTTTGAGCCAGGTCTGAGGTGCGAGCGTTGTGAGCTGGCGGGCGTTTGCACATGCACAACACCCTCTGCCAAACTGCTGCTCAGTCAGCTGTGGTTGCGCTTCTTCACGTAATCGGAGTCTTGTGATCAAGGGATTGCTTTTTTGTTTTGGGGAACTTTTGGCCACGGGCTGTGTTTTCTGCCTTAATCCTGGACTATCTTTGTCCTTTGAAGGGGGTTAATTTGAGTGCTTTATTTTGGCAGCGTCTTCACCTTCCCTTTTTCATCACAGCGAGGCCATAGTGCTCGCCTGGTTTATCATTGCTTTTCTTCTTCTAACGCCTTTCTTGCCCTGCAGCGTGGGACGAGCTGTGGAAGCATATATCCAGCTGTTTCCCTCAATTCCCATTAGTACCTCCCGTATGGAGTAAATACCTTCACATGCGATCTCAATTTGATGAAAGAAAATCTTTTTTAGTTTAAAACATAGCTTCCGCAGTAAGGACCTGGGGTTTCAAGAGTGTTGCAGCAGATAAACCTGCGTGGCTCAGGGATGGAATAAGTCATCTAATGGGCTTCTTCCACTGTCGGCATCTACAATACCATGATTTTTTTGCATCTACGCCTGAGGGCCGTTGTGATTTTGTGGCCCTTTATGGGAGGAGTCATTACTCAGCTTTACTAAGCTTGAACAGGCTGGGCTCACCGTGGTAAGGCTGTGGCCATCTTCTCAGCACTTCCCTTTCTGCTCCTCATAGGTTTTGCCCCTTCTTGAACCTTGAGGTTGTCCTGTGATCATTTTGAGCGGCGGCTGATCACCGGTTTCTTCCAACAGCAGAAATCTGTGGAGGCTCATATATGATGGAAAAAAACCAAGCTTCGTTATCTGTAACTGGAATTCTTCAGTCCTCTCAATAGACGGTCTCCAGAGAGGTTTCCCCCCTCTTTCTCTTGCTCCACTTCAAAGTGCAGTCTGGGCCAGGGGCCAGCAGATTGATAAAGCATTTTAAATAGTAACCCGTGTAGCTGATTTCAGAGCCCTCTCCTGGCTTTTTTGGGACAGTGCAGCCGTTAACAGCAGCGCATCTTTTGGCAGGGTGCTGAGCCATGCACCATGATGTCAGACTTAATGCTTTTGGAGGTAGTATATTCAGAAAGCCAAGTTATAAGAATATTTTGTGGGCTTTCTGCTGTCTGTGTTTTGCCATTCAATACATCCCTCAGCTGTGATTGTTTCTTGTTTGCCCCACATTCCTGCGTGCTCTTTTATAATCTTCTTACGTTATAAGCAGCAGGTAATACTGCCGCCTATTAAGCTCTTTACATTTCTATACGAATGCAGTTAAATATTTTTTGGTGCTGATTATATCACAATTTAGAAGGAATTTTTTTGAGCCCAAAAAGCTTTTTACAAAAATCCAAACTGTGAAATTTCAGTTCAACCAGGCCAGCCAGGCAACAGCTTTTATCCATGACCGTTTTGTGGTGACTTTTTGAGGACCCATGACCAAAACGCTGATTTTAACAGGCACACTCCTCATTGTGGTTTCTGTTGCCATGCCGTCCCTTTTCTTCATGCGAAGAGGTGGTTAAACGTCAGCATTTCCATCTGCAGTCAGTTCTGGGCACTTACTGCTCCGAGTCTCCAAATGCTGACCAGGATTTACTTGGACAGCAATTCTCAAAGGGAAATATTTTTATACCCATCCATCCTTTTACAGATGGTTGGGCAGAAGCAGAGGGAGTTAAGGGAATCCAGCTTAGGTCAGTGTAAATCCAGAATTTAGATCCTCAAAAGTCCTGTTTAGCTGTCACAGCTGTCTCAGAAGCTGTCATTAGAAAGTTTCACAGACCTAGAAGTTTTCTGCTGGATCCATGTCTTGGCAGGGCTGAGTAGCTGGTGTCTGTCTAGAAGGCACGCTTAGAGCATGCCTGTCTGTCAGGCCCACACACATGCGGCCATGACCTCGGCCTTTTTGCAAGAGGGACAGGCATATCAAGAGGGACACTGCAATCTCAGCTCCCCACCACCTCCCTGGGGAAGGGCTGGGGAACCATGTCTGCTCCCTCTTGCTTGTGCTCTGCCCAGTCAACCTTGATTTCATTGTGTTCATGCAAAGTGAAACAGCCCCGAAGGGAGCACTGGGAGCACCCCAAGTACAAAGAAGGGTCATCCGCTGGGGCATTCCCACTCTGGAGGGTGGCAGGCTTGACCGCCTCCATTGGAGCATGTGATTGAACCTAAATTACCTGCCTCCTGGAGGAGTCCTTCAACCACTTAGCTGTAGTATGAAAGGGGATGAGCATCCTCTTTTCCCTTGCCGTAAGACAGTGTTTTGAAAGAAAGATCCCTTGTTTGTCTGAAATAAGGCTTGTTTTCTGAAAGAGAAGGCGTAGGCACCTATGATAGGAGAGGGATCGATGGAGGAAGGTGTCTTTATCCAACCTTCAGTGAGGCGTCTGCTTCCCAAGTGAGTTGCATCCTTCTCTCCTCCGAAATTCCTAGGGGGTCCCATTCAGAGGCTGAATTCCTGTGCTACACAAGAAGCCTCTGTTCCTAACTCATCACCTTCATTTTTGCTGTGGGCAGCTTGCTCAGCAGGCGAGGTCCGACACTGTTACGCTCCGTGCTCATTAAGGCCACAGCCTGGATATAACTGGAGCGTTTGAGCTCAGGTCAGTGCTGAGTCGATGCCAGTGGCACACTCAGAGCTGCTCTTTCCATATGTGGCTTATTCTTTCCACAAAGAAATATGCCCCTTGAAATGAACGACTGTGGGCAAATCTTTGTAGCAGCTGGAACTGAACTGAGATAGAGGGTTTGACCTACTGCAGTAAAGTGAACAGAGTTTGACTTTATGAAAAGTTCACAACAGAGATATATTACTGATTTCACTGAAAATCAAAGTGCTTTGGCTGAGCTTTTTATCGTAGGGCATCATCTGTACTTGTGTAGTGTTTCACTGGGTGGTGCTATATGTTACTGATGGAATCAGGCAGGAACTTTGGATTTGTAATTGGCAGAACCACAGTCTTCAAAGCCACTGTTGTGGTTTTTGGCCTTTTTCTTGTGAAGTGTCCTGTAGTCTTGGAATTTAATATTGCAAGCTGGAAGGACTCCAGGGTCAGTTCTGAAGACCTCTTATTTCTAAACCTCCTGGTTTTTTTAAGGCAGAGTCCCACCATCCACTTCCCCAGCACCTCTGCCCAGAGTAGATCACATAAGAACGTGTTTTAGTGTAGTTAGAACTGCTCGACATGAAAGCTTACTAAGGAATACTTATACTAAAAATCGCTCAGACAGTCCTCTTGTATTGCCATTTAGATCTATCATTCTGATTGATCACTATGTGGTTGGCTAATATTGAGCCTAATTTAACCCTATATGCTCATGCATCCATCTATTTTGTCTATTGTACCTGACATTCTGCAAATTACTTACTCATGCAAATGATGACCTAAGGCAACCTTTTATGATATTCGTGTTTAATTATACAAATGGTTTTTGATAAATAAGATTATACATCCTTCCATATGTTTATTCACTCCTTGATGAAAGCAAAATTTAATTTTCATGCAGATTTGTTGGAGAGTGTGTTTAATAAGTGCTGAGTTTTATGTAGTCTGCAGATCACTCTGGTTTTGGGAAGCTGACAAAATCAGTAGGCATAGTTCAGAGAGACATGTGGTTTTTAATCAGGCCTAATTCAAGCTGCTAAATTTTTAAATCTTGGAACTGAAGCCGTTGCCTTTGTGCTTATGCAATAAAGCAAATGTTGTGAAAATAAATGAGAGATGCTGACTTAACTATACATTTCAATGGGCTTTATTTATATTATGGGTTACTGAAAATGTTGCCAAATGGCTGATACATTAATATTTTTAAGAGAGGGATGTTCCTGTAAAACTTTCTGGTTTTAAAGAGTAACTAGGATTTGGCTTGTGTGATTCAGTCAAGGGGAATGTAACTTAAGTGTCACACAGTGCCAGGCTGAATTCATCAGGGCTGCTTGCATACGTGAAGAAAGTGTGTAGAAGGGAGAAATTGGCAGGACTGGATATCAGTGGTTTTGTTCAGATGTCTTTTGTTCAGATGTCAATCAACATTATCACTGTTGATCACAGCTTCTCAAGGAGTCCTCTTTGCGTGGTATGACACAGACAGTGGTGGGAATTCAGAGTTTGGGGATCAGGTATGAAGAAGACACACGAACGCATGCTGCCTGAGACATGAAATCTGCTTCTTTTCCCTAAACGTAGCAGTGGGAAATATTCCACTCTTCTGTTAGAAAGTCACTGGGTCAACACCAGTGCTGGGCAGCAGCCAAGCGACATTTTGCATGGGTGTCATTGCGCTGCATTTTTCTCGGTGTCAGTACAGCTGCAGTAGCATCCCTGGCTAACTGTGGATGTTTTGCAGGCTTGAGTCCTTCGCTAACAGTTCCTCTGTTTTTGTGTGCCAAAGGTGTGGTCGGTAAACTCAGCGGGCCGGACGCCGAGCGGCTGGTCCCGCTGCCGGACAGGCCCTGCCCCTCCTGAGGGCCTGGGAGCTCCCCTCTTCAACACGGTGGCGTCCACAGTGGCTGTGGTGAACATCAGCCCCCCTCTTAAGCCAAACGGGGTGGTCAGTATCTACAGGCTGTTTTCTAATGATACCAGAGGGACTGATGTGGTGGTGAGTATTGTCAACACTGTTTCTGTACTTCCGTTTGAGCTCGCATTTTGTAGCTTTAACAATTTTGTTCTTACAAGCTGCCACTGTTGGTTACAGACTGTCTTCCTCTCCTGCACTCCCATTGTTAACTGCTCTGCAATGCTCTCTTCTGGCTAAAGTGCCACCGGTGCTTTCACTCACCTAAATGTGCTTCTCAAGGAACTAACCTCATCATTAAACACTTCTGACATGGTGATGGGCTGTGACAATGTGATGGGAATCACAAGTATTGTTCAGGGGCAGCTAACCGTCCAAAGGAAACACTTCCAGACAGCTCCCGCCAGTCCGAATGGTGCAGGTGGAAGCTGCAGCCATTAGGAAATGACTGTGTGCTTTGGATAGCCTAGGATTTGAAGTTCAGAAGAAAGTGCTGTACGTGAGCTTCCCTTAAGATCTTTCTTGTTGGCTTTCATGGTAAAGCACTGAAGAATAGTGCAAGTAGCCAAGCAACTTCTTCTGTGTTTGGTGTCTCAGCCTAGACACCATTAGGTGTCCAGAAATAACCAGTCTCAGCTTAGGAAACCTGCAGGGCTTCATTAGAGTTATAAAATAGAGAGATGTGGGGAAAGGTTAGGGCTGTGGAAGGTGCCTGGAACAGTTACCACCAAATCAGTACAAAATACTTGAATACTTTTTGTCTGTAACACTATCTATTTGTTTTTTACAAGTAGGTAAATACTTGTATGGGATTTTTTCCCTTATCCCATCTTGCTCAACTGGAAGTGCTAGGGACACCTTCCCGTCCGTGAGCTTAAGCTGCCTACCGATCGCATGTTACGCATTTACTCCTTCCAGTGCAATTGGCTGTATCCCTGATTCAGCCAGTTCGTCTCGTTGGTGCCTGCATGGCCCTCCATTTCCACCCCCTCACACCTGCCATGCTGCTGGCTCATCTCTGGCTCTGGCATCAAGAAGTACCAAGTGCTTTCCTTTGCTTGCTTGACTCTTTCCTTCCTATTTTTTGCTGCACTCTGCTAAATCACATGCTGCCAAATGGGAGCAGATGTTGCCCCTCGTGGGTGTTTTCTACATATTTTTATTTCTTTGGCTTAAGAAGCTATACCCATAAATGACTACAGCAACGAGGTGAAGTGGCAGTTCCTGCGAGCAGTTTCAGAACGAGGGCACTGTTCCCTTTGCCAGAACTGCCAGCTCTCCCTTGCTGAGTGTAGGAGAATTTCCTAACAGGCTCGCCCAGCACCATGGCCATGCTGCATGAATACAGAGCAGCATCATGTTGACCCTCAGCTTAGAGGTACCTGCCAGAGAGCACATTCTCCTGTCTGTGAGTAAACTGACCCACCAGACACGTTCGTATCACTCTTCCCAGTGCTGTCTCTTGTATTCATGTTGAGGAAGCTTGTGAGATACGCATGAGTATTTGCTAGCACACTTATCATGGAGCTATATTTGCCACATTAATTTCTTTTTGTTTCAGTATCACTATCCCAGAGTTTCTCCTTAACGGTTTTCTGTTCCTGAGAATGACATTTGCAAGTTGACATAAAGTGGTCACAGCTCAACTCAAGATGTCCGTGAGGCCACTGATGGCGTGGTCTTTTCCTTTGAACAGTGCCCTTTAACTTCATAATGGGAGAAAAATGAATGCAGAGTTTCCAGTACACAACAGCTGTATTAATGTCAGACTTAAAGGACATGCAGAACCTTGTGCTGATCTTCTTCTGGAGTTAATTCACCTCCATAACTCTTATTTAGTACTTGTGGTGCTTGAAGCTGTGACAAGTTCCCTCTTAATTTTCACAGCTGTCAGAAGGGACTGCCACCCAGCAGACAATACATGGGCTAAAACCTTTTACCACATACTCCATTGGCGTGGAGGCCTGCACCTGTTTCAACTGTTGCAGCAAAGGACCCATGGCCCAAATCACCACGCAGCCGGCTCCACCCTCGGAGCAGCCCCCCCCGCAGATCCGCACCGTGACCTCCAGAAACGCCTCTTTCCAGTGGAGCGCCCCTCAGTCACCCAACGGCATCGTCACCAGGTAGGAGCTGCCACCCAGCTGAAACCGCCCACCTCGCCTAGGGGTGGTGGCAGAACAATTTTCCTGGACGTGAGCTGGAATCGCAGGGCTGAGAGCACTGGACGGTTGTGACAGCCATGCTCCTCCTTCCCAGTGTTGGTGGTGATATCCTGTGTGGCCTAAATGCCATCTGGGAGGTGTTTACACACAACGATTGCTTTTCTCCTGAGCAGGATATTGCGGGGGATAAAGGTGGAGAGGATGAGTTGTTGAGAGTGGGAGTAATTGCCTGACAGCTGTGGTTGCACAGCCAAAAAGTTGTGCGATCAACTGGCGGTGAAGGACCAGATGCATCTTGTAGTTATTAAGGCAAATCCCGATTTGCAGAAGGGAGCAGCAAGGTAACAGGCACCAACAGTTTCAGTGTGAGTGTGACAGACAACCACGATTGCTCGTAAGCATCTTACAGTTGGGGCCAAAATCTCTAAGAGAAAAACTGGGATCAGGTCCATTCTCTTCTCTGGTAGCCAGACATACAGCAATTAGGATGAAATGTATGGTTGGCAGTTACGCTATTAAGGCTCTTGATTAATCAAAATCTCAACTTTCTTCCCAGCTATGAGCTCCATGTGTATATGGCTTGCCCTCTGAACCTACAGCCAGCAGCGAAGGCTTGCAGTCCTGGCCCAACTGAGGTGAAGTATACAGGAAAAGGCCAGAGTGCCAACGTGTCCAACCTCGAGCCTTACACGACTTACAACCTGCGAGTCGTGTCTTACAACTCTGTTGGCAGCAGCGCCTCAGAATGGATTGGTTTCACTACGGAAAAGGAGCGTGAGTATGAGAAGTGGTTCACCGATCAGCAGTGCCCGCTTCTGATGCACGGGGCTGCATAGCACCAAATGACTTCTCCACCTCTGTGAAAGATGATGTCCCCAGAAACCCGCTCTTCTGGTCACTGTGCCTCTGCTGCCCGTTCATTGAAATTCTGCACTGGGGCTTGACTGCTCATTCCTTCAAAAATATTTCTCTGCTCATCATCTGATATCACATCCTCTGTCTTGGGAGCCTGGAAACCTTTTATTTTACTGAGAATGGGCAGCAAAGCTGCAGAACATAAAATGTTCAAGTATTACCAGAAGGGTGACGTGCAGTCATAAATACACTGCCATAAATAATCCCTGGGAAAAGTGGACATCTTGAAAGAGACCTGGTGATTCTTTTCAGGAACAATCTTACTGTCCTAATTCATGCCACACTTCTGCCAGGGCTCATGAGAGTTTTCCTTGGATGTCATCTGAATGATTGGATCCTTGTTGATAGTGAAGTAAGAATTTGTTGCTACCTATCTAACCACCACAGGCAGTATTTAAGGCCATGTGGTGGTCTGCATGGAAATTTAACATGCAGGACCTGTGCCTACAGTCAGAATAGATTTTGCCATCAAGACTGAATTTGTAGTAGTCTAACATCAGCTTTTATTAAAAAGATCTATAGTGCTGTAGCCAGAGTCATTCCATAACAGATGAGACGGGCATTTCACCTCAGCCTGCCAGGTCAGGGCAAAGAGGATGTTCACTTTTAATCATATAGTCTCGTGTCAAGATTTCAGAATCACCTTTCTAAAAATCCCTTTTGCATCACTTGGTAGTTCTGCCTAGTAATTACTAAAAATGTATCATCTGCTACATCCTTAGCTGAAAAGTTCAGGTGGAACAGCCCCAGATTTTCTTTAATGTCACCACTGAAAAAAAGAAAAATTTTATCTCTAAAGCTGTGTTTTATTAAATTGCAAACTAAAAAGCTGGAACATGATAATGAACTTTTAAATGGAGAAAATTCATAATGAACTGGTAAGACATACAGAATGCAAGGGTTTGAAAGCCATTTTTAAACCCCCGCCCACTAGGCCTGCAGCCCTCTTCTTTCAGTCTTGCTTTTCTTGCCTTGCTGACCTCTTCACACCAGGTCTCCTGAGTCACTCTGAATGTCTCCTTCCTCTTGGCTGGAAGGCTTGCTTTAGTGACAGTGGGTAATTAGCAGCAAAGTGCAGCTGGACAAGCAGCTTTCTTATGAACAAACCAGTATATACTGGGCCCATGGCTTAATGGCAAAGCCACAAGAAAGGACCACCTCAAACTTAAATGAAGTCTTTTGTCAGCAAGCTGTTGAGCCCAACTGATGAACTCTTCCTCCCTGAAGTGAGTTCTGGTTTTTTTTTCTCTCTGCCATCTGCTCTTGCTTTTCTCAAACCCCGTGTTTTCATGTATGTGCATGTGTTAAAAGATGATCTTGGGCAATTTCTGGGGGTTGCAAAAGAGTCCTCTCCTTAGAGGTTCAGTTCCCACAGCCTGGCATGCTGCAGCTGAACTTGCACAACCTCCTGTGTCTCCCTCTCCCCCACCCTAAGCTGGAATTTCATTTATACAGTTTTAGTGTCTGTGCCACATACACAAAGGCAAAGGAAGGGAGTTCTAGGTCTTTATTTTAAAGATGTGAGATATTTCTGCTTTCTTAGTGTAGCAGCTGGCATGCTACAACAGCTTTCTCTTTTCTCCTTGTATCTTCCCTACTCATACACATGTATATGAGAGAGAGAGGGAGTGCATGCGACAGAGAGCTTGTATCATGCAGAGTCTCTTTCTCTGAGCTGCATAACTCAATCATGCCTGTTGGCTAGAAATGACCTTTTTTCCTTCTTTTGCAGCACCTCGGTACATGGCTCCATTCTCCGTTGTCAGCAATTTATCCACCATCCACATAGACTGGAGTCGCACTTTTGTACTGAATGGCCGCCTGAAGGAGTACGCGTTAACTGAGAGCGGGCAACGCATCTACAGTGGCTTTGACACTGAGCTGTATTTACCAAAGACATCTGACAAAAGTCAGTTTCAATTTCCAATAGCTTTCTCTCTGTGAAAGACTCTTGAGCTAAATTACTATTATTGTGTGCTAAATTTAAGAAAAACTCTCCATAGCCATCCCAAGCAAGAGCGTACCACAGATACACTGAAGTGCATCTAAGCAGGTGCTTGGAACAAAAATCCTTGGAGCTAAGCTTCCTCTTAAACATTTTACCTGACTGGGTGAGACTGCTCTGGCTCATTGTGAGGGTCGAGCTTTCCCAAATCCTGGTGCTGCGTTGCAATTCCACCCTTCAGGGCTACACTCTGGGAAATGCATGGAAATCTTCAGCTTCAGAAAAGACTGGAGCCTGAATTTTTCTTTAAACAAAACTAAGTCAGTAGCTCTTAGAATCAGCCATGTTTTGAAATTTAGTTTCTCTTTCAGAAATTTGCAGTCTTTAAAATAAGAAGGGGGTGGGGGGGGAGAAGAAAAAGAAAAAAAAGAAAAAACCACAAGAAAAAATGTTTTCTGTTTTTAAGGTGTTGGGGGTTTTGTATTTTAAAGGATTTTGTCATTTATTTTTTACTTTCCTGCAATGGTGCCAATACATATTTTTTTACTCAAACATTCTTAACGTTTTCATATCAGCCATGAATGGAGTATGAGGTATTTAAAACAAAATGATGAATAAATTGAAAGTTGAGAGCTACATGTCATTGGAAGAGGGAGGATTGGGTGGTGAAAGAGGAACATAATTTGTAGCAACATCATAGTCGTGACTACCTATGATCTGCCATGGCTCATAGTTTAGAATTTTAATACCCATGTATAAGGAGGGATCATGAGGCTCTGATCTGGGACTCAGGTGGGTTATGATGGGTTATGTGCTATGCCTGCCTTAGGTTTTCTCAGACCGGGCCATCTCCACTGGTGGATCAAGGTGACAAAGCAGCACCTACAGAATTTGGTTTCTCCTGCTGACAGTATTTTCTAACCTTTTTGCTCAGCCTTTTTGTTTCAAGTGACCTGTATCACCGATGAAGGGAGCGCCATGACACCGGTCATCAAGTACAGCGCTGGAGACGGAGTTGGTAAATATGTGAAGAAATTATTGATTTTATGTGTTTGTGATAGAAATTTGATACATCGTGCATGCCAGGATGGCATCTCATTGCAGGATCAGGGGATTCCTTAGTGTCTTTTCGGTATGAGGTATGTAGGTAATGTGCCTTTTTTGCCATGGATGGCTTTCTGTTTCTTTACATCGTGATCAGCTTCAGATCCTTTTTCCAGATGTGTAATAGTTTTTTCTTTTATTTTTACACAAATATTTTTCTCCAAAATGTAGTGCGTTTTCCTCCTGAATAGAATCTGCTCTCTTCCAGATTTTATTTCCAAATTAAGATCGTCTTGAATTTTAATCCTGTCCTCCTACGTTCCTCCTCAGTTTGACAATGAAAATATATATCCTCTCTCCTCCCTGCATCCCACCCACCCCAGCAAGGGGCACCTGCCTGCTCCTTTCATATGACCAACCAGCCAGCCTCTGCAGTTTCACCTGGGATGTGTCCCCCTAACCAGTTTATGAGAATGTCGTATGAGATGCTGTCATGACCTGGTTTCCCTTCTGTCCCAAGGCCTTTGCCTATTTTGTGAAAGCAAAGGAGTTTGGTGTGGTGAAATCCCAGTCAGTTGTTGTCCATTGAGTAGTAGATGCCTACTAGTAAACAGTTTCAGAATTTTATCTCCATAGTTTTCTGGCAAGCAAAGCTAAGCTCAAACCATTTCTAACTGACATATTGGTTTTAATTAATTTATTTATTTATTGAGTTGCATCTTGTTCAGCTTCTTAAAATAGATGGGCCTTCTCTTTGCAATTACTCTTTACACTGCATTTCCCTTATATCCCTTTTCATGCTCTCACCCCATCCTCCTGCAGAATTTCAGGCAAGGCTGCTATAAAGGCATTGTCAGATGTTCCCAGTTACTCTACATCCGTCACCTTCCACAGTCTGCTCCTTTTTTCTTTTAATTGCTAATTGTACCTAGAGTGTTCTGCAACTCGATCAGCACCACAGGCAACTTGCAGCAGAGGCTTGCAAGCGAAGGTGATGGAAATTCCTTAGCAAAGAGCCTAGATTCGCATGTAGGATTGCAAATAACTAGGAAATCCTGTCACTGAGATTTCTTACGCTTGTGTTGTGTATGAGCAAAGTGGCTGTTTTTTTTCTAACAGGTGGGAGAATAAAATGTTTCATGTTGTTTGCTTTTGTATTAATTTATCACTCATTTCAGTTCAGTCTTCCTCCCTCTCTCTTTTTAACTGCACAGGGCTGCCACTACACAGTGCTGGAAAGAATGTCCTCTGTCTGTACCGCTCTGAAATTACTGTAGTCATTTCCACTCTTCAAGGTTACTTGGAGAACCCTTTTTTTCTCACATCCCACCTCCACCGCCTCCTTTCTCAAGAGCTGCTGATGCAGTGGTGATTTCCAGCCTCAGCAGCAATGCCAGAACTTTAAGCAGGGTCTCTTGAGGGTAGTAAGCTTTTTATTATAGCCCGCTAGCATATTGAACCATTATGCCACCTTGAACATAAGTGCAAATAAGCACATGACGACAAAATTACTTAAATTTCTGCCTAATTTATTAGCGAGGGAAGGGATAGCATATTGTTAAACGCTTTCTGAAATAACATTCCTTTTCTCCCCTAATCCCTCTTGATTTTTACAGGTCTGATCTTGACAACACCTGGAGAGAAGGACAAAGCGGAGTCCAAACGTGCAAAATTCTACAACGAGTTGTGGTTTGCAGTGCTGATGGTAGTTCTAGGTTTGATCCTCTTGGCTATTCTTCTCTCCTTAATTCTGCAAAGGAAAGTCCACAAGCAACCCTATGCACGAGACAGACCTCCTTTAGTTCCACTCCAGAAAAGAACGTCACCAATGAGTGTGTATTCATCAGGTGAAACCCATCCGGTACGTTTGGTAAAATGCAATGTTGTGCATCCATCATGTTATACTTTTATCTGCCTCCCCAAACACACATACAGTTTTTCTTCCTCCTTCCACCATTTTGTTGCACTCTTGGCTACCAAATGAAGGCTGTTCAGGGTAGGAAAAGGGCTGTCTGGTGTACCTATACGGGCACAGAGAGCCAGGCTACAGGTGCTTAGTCCAAAAAGAGCCCTATGGCACCCGGTCTGCAGGCCCTGAAATGCTTCTGATGCCTAAGACAAACTTTGGACCTGGAGACACAGAAAATGCAAAGCCGCTGATGTCACCTGGTGTTAGCTGACATCTGCAATAGAGCTGAAAAGGCCGTGGCATGCTGTGAGAAGGTAAGCGATAAAATGTGCTTTTCAGAGGAACCTTTCATGTGTTCCCAGATTTCTGTTGTGGATGGCTAACCAGGACCAATCGGACAGTCTTTGTCAGGTATCCATGAAATGTGCCTGCAAAGAGCAGGACTTAGGGAGAGGCTCTATTTCTTTCTAGTATCCACCCACCACCCAGCTGGGCTGCTCTAGGACGAGCTGCAGGCCAGGAAGGTTTGGGGGAGAGAGAGTGTAAACAGGGAAAAGCTAAGGACCTTCCCAAAATGTGTGTGTGCGCATCTGTGCACGCAAAGCCACAGTGGGACCACCGGAGAGGTGGGAGGAGGACTGCTGGGGAGTGATAAAGAGGAAGGCTTTTTATAATTTCTATTACAACAAGTTATAACTCTGTAAAAAAAAAGATAAAGAACATGTTCCACACTATAGCAGAGTAGTAGTGCTATCCTACCCTTTGAGGAAAAGCAAGACAAAAGGAATATGGCAATTGTTACGAGACTGAGAATGGGAGCAGCAGTGCCTTCCATTTCCGTGCTTCTTCCCAGGCACAGGCCGTGAGATGATGATTCTTGTCGCTTCTCAGCTTCTTTTTCCTGTGAGCGCCATCAAGCAGGATAGTGACTCCTGCACCCTTCACGCATTCTGTTCCTTCTTGTCTCGGTGCCAAGAAGCTGCATCTGTGCCTCAGCGAAGGAGCTCTTGGAAACAATGGGATTTCCAGTGTGCCCCTTCTCCTGGCAAAGGCTAAGAAACTTCTTTTTTTGGTCTCATGGTTTTGATTCCTTTTCCTCTACAGTCTGTCATGTTGTGTTATCCCCTTGACTTTAAAATGTCTTTGCTGTTGGCATGCCTGCACAATTCCTTTCCATGCTCCTGGCCCTTCTTTTCTTTTTTTTTTTTTTTCCTTTTTCTTTTTCCAGAAGCTCATGGACTTAATAGAAAGGAGGAGTCTACAGTGCATCAGTTGAAGGACTTAATGTGAGAAGTTAGGATAGAGCTACTATGAAGTGGCAAAATCCCGTTGTGTTTTACAGTTGTTAGTGAGGTCATGTGGCAAGCAATGCTGGCTGCCCATGCGGTGCTTGATGACCAGTTAAATAGTGCCTCATCTTTGCCAGTTCCCCTACTCCCCACATCCTGCTACATTGCTCCCCTTCACAGACCTGCAGCTACTTCACACCCTCCGTAAGGAACAGGCTGCACCTGCATTGCGCCTTGCCCTGCCCTAACACTTTTCCTCCCTCTCTTTAATCTCAGTTTGAGACCATTGCTGACACGTCTGATTCATCAAGCAGTGTCACTCTCAAAAGTTACACAACGCACTTTGAGGTAGAGTCGTTAGCTTGCAGAGTTGCAAGGTGTGTGATGTGCCAGATGACCCAAAGAGCATGCAGGAAGGCATCTTACATTGCATGTTTTCTTGGCGGGTGAATGTTTTTTCCCTGGTCATGATAACTGAAAAAGGAAGTCTGCTAACATCCCATTGCTGTGCAAGTCTGGGCTATCATTCTGGTAGTCATAAATCTTTGGACTTCTGCCTGTTGGCTACTTCAAAAGAAAAAAATTAGAGAAAGGAAAGTCGTATTTTACAGGGTTGGGTTTTTTTCCTTTTTAATGATACGATTGTCCTGCAATGGGGAAAGGTCCATTTTTTTCTTTTCTTCTGTTTATAACTGTGCATGATTTTTGAAGCATGGGCTTCTCTGTTCTCTTCCACTCCTGCTTTGGTTTTGTTCAGATAATGTGTTTGTGACCATGCCCTTTGTTTTTGATTTATTAGTTTGTGTCTTCCTCGTAGGGGCTGGCAGATACGAAAATTCCAGGAGCTGGTTCTCCCACGAGCAACCGCAGTGTCCATATCGCATCTGGGGCAAGGAGACCAAGTCAGAGCCAGCTAAGTCGCACATATTCCCAAGCCTCTCTTCATCGTAGTGTCAGCCAGCTGCTCGACCTCTATGACAAAAAGTCTCTTGTTGAAGAATCACCTTGGGATGCCATTATTCGCAATCATCGCACTACTGGTCGTGGCTTGGTAAGGACTCCTGTTCCTCTGTGATGCTGTTGTGCCTCAGCTGCTAGTGATTTGTCTGTTCTGTTAGAATCATGAAAAGGTCTAAATATCAAAAGCTGCTGGAGATACAGCCACAAGACCTAGGCGGCCATGGTCAGAGATTAGATCCTCAAAATCCTTCCCGCCTACTGCTCTCTTCTGGAGCCGCAGGTGATCACACGCTACTCTTATAGGATGATGTGAGGGGTCCATATGCATCTGTCTATGGTTTCCATTGAACCAGTAACTGCATGGTCTACCAGGAATATGCACCTTGAAGAATTCCCTTCTATTTGGTCAACTCGTAGGCTTTTCTCTCCATGCATTTCAGCACATGTACATGTGTGAGGAGGGATGTCTTGGCATCCTTCATGCATTCAGTGCCAGAAGCAGGAGCTTGTGTTCTAGTGACTCCTGTTCTGTGACCTTGGACTCAGTTGCTGACGAGACCTGCTCTCTGTCCTCTGCTCAGTCACGATGCAGAGATCATGTGAATGTGCAGATCTTCTGGCATGCGTGACAAACGACTTCAAACTCTGCCCACATGGGACTAGACGGAGGTTGGGCGGTCAGGCAGAGCATCTGTCTTCTAATATAGGAGAGGACAGGATTGGCCAGTGTCACCAACACGGACCTGAACACACAGATATAAGAAGTTATGATTCTCAAGTCAAGGACAGTGGCAAATCCCTTCCCCTCTGTCACCAGAGAATAGGCTTTTTAACCTCCACCCCCCCGGCTTCCACCCTTCCCTGAGCAAATGTGTGGGAAGGGGTTCGGGGGCCAGCGAGACGCGAGTGTTTGCTCCCAGAAAAAAGCTGACTACTAAGGTTCCTAAACAGGGGACAGATAGGGGTGAAGGGCATGTGAGGTAGTAACAAAATTAGATGGAGTGTGCAGTTATCATTGAGTGGATCTTGTCCAAAATGCAAAGTGAACTGGAGAAGGATAGTCTGGCACATTAATCCAGGCAGCTTCCTTGGGCTTTCATCTTCAGTACACCAAACAGCTAGAAGGGCTGGAACGTATGGGTGTTGCTACCATGGCTGTCATACCTGCTTAGACCATAACAGCAGGACCAAGGAAGCTGATAAGGCTTAAGTAGGAAGATATTGATACTTGGCACCAGGCAAAACCCCTCTAGGTACACTGCACTGATCTGCAGCTCATGGACTTCCTGAGCCAGGGGTATTGTGACTCAGCCTTGAGTCATTTTCTCATAGCTATCACATCCTTGTGATTTAATTCCTTGGGGACTAACAGCCCACCCAGGGTGTACCTCTATATGAGCTCATTAGCCAAAAGAACAGCTTTCCAATGCCCTATCTGCTTATCTTGTGCTAGCACCATGATTTGGTTTAGCTTGCAAACCCCCCATACACAGACTGGACGTTCGCATGTTAGAACTGGTTTACAGAATAGTCCAATGAGTTTCAGAAGCTGTAGGAGCAGGAGAACAAAAACTTCCTCTCACTTTTGGTGGCAAAAAACCCTGACAGCATGAGCTCAGCTGCTTTTTAAAATCAGCGACTATATACGCAAAGCCGGGCTCTTCTGTCCAGCCTCTGTACGTTGCTTTACATTTCCCTGAAGCTAACTGTCTCTGCTCCTGTGTTGCTCAGCTACTCTCTTGCAAACAAACTTCCTGCAATGCTTTTCACTCAGTTCTTCCCTTTACTACACTCAGTAGCTTAAGACTGTCAGCAAGTTTTGTTCATCCCTTTGTCCATCTTGCAAATTAAGATACTGAATGGCTGAAGTGGGCCAGGACATGTATCTGCAGTAACACTGCTGGTGATGTCTTTATGCTATGGAAGCAGACAGTTTATTTCTCTCCTGCTTTCAACTCTTTCTCTGGCTCAGTGTATTAGCATGAGTGTAGTTGGAAGAAGCTCAGACCCTCCTTTAGAAGCTTGAAGAACAAAAATCTTACCTAAATCACAGGTGATGGGGTTGTTATACAAAACAAAACTGTAAACATGTATTCTTTTTCTTTTCATCTCTCCAAGTTCCCTATCACACTGTAACAAACACTATTTACCATTTGTCATATATATATATAGTAATTGATTTTTTTTTTTTTTTTTAAAATACTTATTGCTTACTGTGAAAATCTAGTTGGTTTGGATTCAGGTGCTTGAATGCTTTAGGTTCTTACCTCATGCTGGGAGGAATGGAGAAACATGGAGAGAGGCAGAAATGCACTTATTTATCTGACTATTTCAGAACTGTTTATTAGGGCGTAGCAAGAAAGAGAAATGACGGAATCGCCTTTAGTCTGGTACAGCTTTGGCTTGGCTTACATGCTTTTTTTTTTTTTTTTTTTCCCCTCTCCCTCCTAACAGTATGTAGATGAAGAAGATCTTGTCAATGTCATCAAAGGCTTCAGCACAGTCACCAAGGAGCATACCACATTCACTGACACCCACCTCTGAAGAACACAGCCACCTTCTCTAGAAAATGGAAAATGGGTAACTTGCCAAAAGCAGCCTGCATGGCCTTTGGGGGAGGGGATAGGGCTGCTGTTTCCACACCCCATGCCCACTAGTTAAAAGATAAAACTGTTTGTTGGGAGGGGATGGGGGGGGTAAGTTGGCCTTTTTTTTCACCATCTCTTTAACTGTATAGTAAAAACTTTGTGTTAGCACTGACACCTCAGAAAGGTAAGAGAACAGTTTGAAAATCCCTAAGTCATACAGTAGTAGAAGACTGTGAAGGTACAGGCTCTCATCTTTGTCTCTCATCCAACTTTCACAGTTGAGGAGGGTTGTGGGGGTGGGAGGGGGGCAACGTGTTTGGTAAGGAAAAGTCTTTTACCTGTCCAAAAACCAGCATGTGGCTAAAAGGGGCCTTCGTGGCAACATTAGCCATGTCTTTTTCTGGCCTGACAAAGCTCCACCACAAAATTGTGTTCATGCACAGGTGAATAAACAGCAAATGAAGGAATTCTTATGGAGTTGCTTTAACCTTTGCATCCTCTCCCTCCCTCTTCCCCACCCTCTCAGCTCAAGTAAAAAAAAAAAAAAAAAAAAAGCCATTAATTAATGCTTAACTCCAAGCATGCTTTTTCAGAGGTAGAAAACCTTCTAACACCCTCCCTATTAAACACTTGGTGTCACAGCCTTCCCTTTTGCTTATGTTCACCACCCATCGTAAACTAGGAGCAAACAGCAAGCAGCCGTTGCAACACAGGTAGGAAATACCATGTCAAGGCACTTGTAATTGAGAATTATTATACCATGACAGTGAACCTACTCCCATATTCATCTCTGTCCTTTTTCCAGAGAAAGTGACAAGGAAGCCCTCAAGAGACTGCCAGTTCTGTGTATTCTGCCAAGCATATTTTTATGCATGCTCTCAGTCACAATCGGCAAAACCCATCATCTAATAGCACACATTTTCAGAAAGCACAAGCAACACTCCTCTGGCAATTTATTTGGACTAAGAGGCAAAATAATATGCTATTTTGAATAGCTTCCTCCTTCACCTGGACAAAACATTTCAGATTTCAGACAGCAGCATACAGAACAAGGATCCCATTCATAAAAACAAGACTACAGAGGCAGCCCTGTGAAACAGGCAAAATCCAGCCAAGACAGCAGCAGCTCTGCAGAGCAATGTGTGGCAGCATCTTCCACTGAGCAACCAAGTACTCCTTTAGTGCCCTCCCTTCCCCCAGAACAAAAATAATCACAACGTATCACATGCCTGACCACGTTTACGCAAGAATGCACAACAATATTTTGGACCACGTACCGTACTACATTTTGGAGCATTACATAAAGCCACACATTGATGTGCATGCCTCTTCAAAGGTTTGGCAGCAGCCAGGTACTTTCTCATAACCTTACAATTTTCATTCTGGGTATCAGAACCAAGTCCCATTCAAGAAACAACCCACAACACATAATGTTATGCCTGCTACCAGCCAGAGGGCACGTGCACCTCATCTTTGTTTTCACAAGCCATAGTCTTGGCAGGATGAGTCATTCTTCCGGTGACGTGGTGAAGCAGCTGTCTTCGTAGGTGATGGAGAAGCCGCACCAGGTAATTCAGGCCCACCTTCAGCAAGGACTGGTGCAGAGGCCAGGAGAGGCACTTTCTTCCTTCCCAGGAAGCCAGCTCCTTCAAATCCCATTTTCTTTTTGCTTTCTGCTTTGGCTTCACTCTCCTCTTCTGGTCCTCTTCTTTTGAGATCTAGAGAACTCTCTGGCAGTCGGTGAACCTCTGTACTGCAACACCCACCTGCCTCTGTCACACCTGTGCCTCGCCCTTCGAGTGCTGTAGTCAGGACTGCCTTCCTCTCAGCTGCACTGCCCTCAGCTGTTGCCTTCCTGGCCTCTGTCTGGCTTGAATTCCCATTTGCAGCAGCTGCCTTTTCTGTTGGGCTTTTGCTGGGTAAGTTAAAAGCCTGGAAGTCCCGGTAACTGTGAAAGCTCTCCGTCCGCCTTGCTCTTGCCAATAGGGGGCTTTCTCTGTATGGCCGCACAGAACCATACGTGGCTGTTTCATGGATTGTTTCGTGGTGCTGCAATTGGAGGCTTCAAAAAAGAAAACCAACAGTCAAGGACAAGAAGAGCAGATGTGAGGCTGAGAATAGCAGCCGGTTCTTCTGGACACCTTGCTCCCACCCACCACTGCAACTCCCACTAAAATAGCAATATACTCATCACAACCCCCCCACAAGGGCTTCCAGATCACTTACTTACTTCAAATTCTCCTACGATACTTTAATCCGCACACATATAAACCAACAGAAATCGAGGCATATGCGTGTATAGTTCAAGACACTCAGGGCTCAGCTGCAGCCTTCAGGTCACCAAACCCCTCTTTGCCTACCTGAAGGGTAAAACCTTTGATGTCTGCAGCAGGTGCCACCCTTGCTGACCTACCTGGAATTAGATTCCCGAAGCCGGTTTGGCTGAACTACTGAGGTGGCAGGACTGATGTTGGGTGTGGCACAGCGAGACGTACTCAAGTCACACTGGTCAAGCAACTTGAGCAGCTCTTCCTCTGTGGGGCCGCCAACATCTGAAAGAGACAGCTCTTAGTGCCCAGGTCCATTTACTGTAGTCATGCAGATGTGAGGACAGAAAAAGAACCACACCACAGTCCTGGCATAACACAACTTACCTTTGTCTTCACTCTTATTAACCATGTCCATAGCTGTGGTCAGGTCCCACATCTGGATGCTGCCATTTGAATGCCCAGTGAAGAGGTAGCGGCGTGGCCGGGAGCCCATTCTGCTGGATCCTTCACATTCTCGCACGGTAAATGATGAGATGGTAGTGCAGTCAACTGCCTGGATCTCACAGATCCTACAGGAAAAGAAACTCCAAGTTACCAAAACAATTGCACCTGGCAGAGTTTGGCCAGTAAAGTCAGTAATGTTTTGATTTTCTGAGAAGGCACCAAACTTGCCCTCAGAAAAAGACCTTTCTTCCAGACAAAACTCCTTCCCCTGCAAGACCGGCATGCTGCTCAGCTGCAGACAGTACCTTCCCTGCCAATCCATCTGCAGTCTTACTACTTGTTTATTTTTCTTAGGGAACCCCATATGTTCGCTGTCCATTTTCAGTCTGCAATGATTAGAAACCTAAGGCTCTCAACAAGAATGACAGCAACTAGCCCCTTCAGATGCTAGACACTCTAGGAAACCAACCTGCAGAAACAGCACATTTAACCATATAAAAGAGATACAAAAAAATGCAAGGATGATAAATCCAAGGCCATCTATACCTATAACTTTTGTCTTATGACAACTGCAATATTACTTGAGATGGCAGATCTCCATTGCTTTTCTCCCTTTATTTTAGAAGCTTATGTGGGGAGTGAGAGGAAAAGGACTCCCAAAACTAAGCTGCTAAGCCACACTCCACACCAGAACCTCACATATTCTGGGTAATTTGTTTTACTGGCCCCTTGTATTGAGCTTTTTACCCAAGAAGTGCCAAAATAAGTCATCTAATAAAACTCTCCATTACATACAAATCTAGCCTGAAGGGGGTGGGGGGAAGGCACATCAGTAATCCGCAGGGCTTCTGTCCTCAGTTCAGATGCCAATAGCGTTAAGGCATCAACGTCTTCACCCAGATTAAAAGTTATTAGGCAAGAGATGCAAGAATAGTAAAAAGCACAGAATTGAGATGCATCATCTTTTCTGATCTCTTGCCATCTTCCTAGCCTATCAGGAAGAAAAGCAGCTGTGGTTATTTGGCAACTTTTTTTTACTACATTGGCAGCAACATAGTAGAATATTATGAAGTCAAGCCTAAGTAAATAATTGTATAGCTGACCTAGAAGACAGTCTCTCAATTTTAAAGGTTCTAATATCTTCAAAGACAAGTGCAAAGGAAGAGGGAAGCTGCTTCCCTGTCTACCCTTGTGAGCAGCATAATCCCTGCCACCAGCAACTTCAGCATGAGTTTTGAAATTTAATGTTAGCATAGTACTATGGCTGAGAGGTGCAGATTCTGTACAGGCATACAAATGTTTGTTCTGTGAACTGAGCAGGTGAGCCATCACGAAGAGTCTCTGATACCACATTTTTGCAAAATGCCATTTGGCTTCTAGGTAATAGAACAGATCATTAAGTACAGTTCTGTTACTAACACACAAACCAGAATTCAGCCAGAGCTGTCAAACACATCAGAAGCTTGCTAAGTGCAACTGCATGCATCCCCAAGGGATGGGAGACCCTGCCACCTGAAGAGTCCTGCTCCTTTCCCACTTAAAACCCTAACATGGAGGTACCTTTTCCCAGTTGAAGACAGCCTTACAAAGAGCTTATTTGTGATGGGAACAACTTTTTGGATAAACACCTGCTGATCATCACGTTCACCAAAGGGTCCTAGAGAAAAAAGACAGATCACTTTTTGGTTTTTTTGTTTCAAATCCCTCACCCTCTTCCCCACACAGTCCTGAAGACCCAAACTCATATTAGTATTACCACTGCAACTTTAAAGCATCAGGCCCAGGGAATCAAAGACAACTAATAGCTAGAAAAAGCCACCCAATAGTTAGGAGCCTCTACAGATACAAATCTTAAAGGTGTTTTTTGTTCATTTGTTTTAAAGGACACCCATTATTGAGCTTCCTGTATGTTCCTGGAGGAACTATTATGTCAGTACAAACCTTACATTAGGCCTTTATAATAACAGTAAGTACTTTCTTGTTTTGCAGCTCCTAGATGTCTAAAGGCTTAATCAGATTTCTTGCCATAGGACTGACCCCACCCTGTGTTCACAGGGCATCCTATTCATCAAAGGTTCATTTGCAAGACTCAGACCACAAAGGAATCCAGCCTATCTGTCTACTCATATTTACTGACATGCATTCCTCCAGTATCTTGCTATAGCAATGTGCTAGCACCATTTCCCTCTGCAGTTTCAAGGCTTCAGTAAACTTTGTCACAACTTCAAATTCATTTAAGAAT